GAAGAAGGAGGAGGAGGAGATCAGGATGGAAGGTGGTAGGAGCGACGGGGGTAGGGGAGGGGGGTGGTGAATCCTTGCTCGGTGGAGCTGTGGTGGGGGGTGAAAACGGCAATGGCGTTGGGGGTGGGTTGGTGAGGGTGGCGTTTAAAGAGGGCGGGAGGAGTGCGGTGACACTTGCCTGTCCCTCAACAGCTACTGGGTTTTCACCTCCGCCATTGATTCATCTCTTTCACTGTCGAGGTTGCGGTGTGCTGTTCGGTTCAGACATGCTTGCCTCTGGGTCTGGGATCGCGGAGATCTGATCCGGCAACGACCGCCGACGCGGAAACTGAGGTGAAATTGGGGCACACCTGGCGCCCAGTTTGGGCAGGAATTTTCACGTCCCTCAATTTGGAATACAGTAATTCAAAGGTTAATGTTAATTGATTTGCGTATGTGAAAACATTTACAGTATGATGCGAAAAATTAAGCATTTCTTGAAACATTAATTGGTTATATGCAAATGTTAATACATGCTCCCTTTGTTTCAAATTAGAGTTGTCTTTAGATTTATCTAGATACGAATGTATCTATCTAACACTAAACTAGATACTTCTTCCGTCTCATAATGTAAGACGTTTTTTAACACTAGAGTAGTACATCTGTATTTTGACAAATTTAAGATAAGTGATTCAGGACGGAGGTTGTATTTATTAGTACAATATTACTATTAGAATTACTTCAGTTTTTTGTTGCTGTTGAGAAAAGTTCCTTTTCTATTTAGAAAAGTTTAGACTTGTTGGATTGGACTAGGGTGCCTTTACCTAGCAGTTTCCTATTACCGGTTCTCACAAGCAAACGCCCGGAAAACACAGAGCAAGCAACCAAAGTACAGTACCAGTGCTACCTCTCAGACACCTCACATTAACTACACACAAGCTCCAAATAGTTAACAACAACCTATGAGAATATCCAAATCAATTTTAGATTTTAGCACCGCTGCCACCTCAATTTTTTTAGGGAAGATACTGCTGCTGCTGCTTCCCTCTGCCAATAAAGGAGCAGTGTAGTGTAGTGTATATATTCTAACAGCAGGTTAATTTGCAAAGCTTATTGGATAATTTGGACTGGCACTGGAGATGTGGCAGCAGAGGCCCCAGATCCATCCATCCAGTATACTAGTAGCCCAGAAGAATATTAGGTGGCCTGCAGCTTTTGCTTTGCCTTTTAATACACCCTCTAGACCTAATCTTGTGCTAATCCTGCTCTTCCCTTAACTTTAAGCCAAAGCAACGCAAGACATTTTTTGAGCTGGATGGGGGAGGAGAGGGAGAGGGAGGCGGATGGTACATCTCTTTGCTGGTAGCGGATTGGAACATGGAACCTAACCGGGAAAAGAAAAGCAACATTGGAGGTGACACCAAATCTGAAGCTTTCTTTCATTAATTCTGGATGAACAGTGTTATTTCATTTTGAGTTAAAGAGCTTCAATGTTTAAGAATTTCTTTTGGAGGAATTATTTGTTTTCCTTCTCTCTTTTTTTGCAGTTTCGGTGAGGATCCAAGGGTGTAGATTTCTTGTGTGGTACCACATCCTACAAGTACTACTGTAGCGGCGTGTGCTGCAGGCGCACGATAAAGCGATTAAGAAACTGCCGGAAAGTTTGGTGCGGAAATGTAGACCGGCCCAGGCCCAGCCGGTCAGGGGTCCAGGCATCTGAAAAATAAAACCGGTGGGGGCACCCGGAGGACTGGTTGTACTGTCCGGTCTTGGTGGCAGCTTTGGCGTTTCCTTTAGCGTGCAATGACTGAATCGAGTGGATCAACAACAACTTTCACGGTTTTGGGGGAATCCATCCATCCATGGAGGCAGGACGCAGCACACCATGTCGACCGGCCGAACCCGCGGAGTAGGTGGAAGTGAGGTGGAATGAAAACCGTTCTTCACTCACGGAGGGAGCCTTGCACGAGCTTCTGATTATTCCTTTGGCTGCGACCGACGGCGTTTCCGGCTCTGCCTGAGCGCACCACAGACGGCGTTTTTCATTGGCTCGTTGTTCTTTCGCCCTCTTGCTTTGTTGTCCTTTCTACATAATTGTTGTCCTATGGCGCGCACGGAGCTTCTGCATTTTGCAGTAATCTTTTGTTCCCAATCCATCCAGCTTCCGTGGTTTTATTGTCTTTTTTAAGGCCTAAGAGCATCTAAAACGGGACGCCACAAACCCTCCTCAAATGTTTGGATGGCCTGTCTGATCAGTGATCGGTTATGATTTTTTTTAATCCAGACAGACGCCTCAAACGTTCAGTCGGACCGGCATCCTTCATATCCAGCCTAAATATGAAGCGGTCCAGGCACGTCCGTCACGTCAGCCCGGCCCATCACAACCCCACATATATCCTATCCGATGAACCATAGACCTTAGTCCACTCTACTCTCTCCGTCTCTCCTCTTTCCGATTCGTCCTTTCCTCTTCCCACTCTGATCTATGGCCGACGACCGCAGCGGCTCCGGCTCCAACGGCGATGAGAGGGACGTCGATCCGCTCACTCTCCGCATTCACTACAAGAAATATGTTAACTTGTGACCTTGACTATTGGTCACTGAAAGATCATTATTTTTCATTTGCGACCTTTTTGTGACCAAAAACAGAAGGTCAAAAACTGGCGGTCGTAAACTGAAATTAATGACCTTCTCTGTGAGAAGGTCGTGGACGTTTATGACCAAAATATGCCTACTGTATTGTTTTGGTCACTAGCAGCCTTCACAGGCCACGTAGGCATCCAGCGTGGCAAGCTGATGTGGCACAAGAATCAGCCCAGTCCAATTCGGTTTTCTACATGGGCCTAGCCCAACAATTCGGCCTTCTTAATGTATTTTTTTCCTGTGCTTTTATTAGCTACATGGGTCTGGCCCAACAATTCAGCCTTTGATTTCTAGGCCTTTAGCCTTTTTGCTGCCATTTCTTATTTGGGCCTCGGCCTTTTTACAATCCATTTTGAACCAGGTCCCACTAGTCAGGTCATCCAATTAGGTCCCCTTGTCAGATTTATTTTGTTTCTTTCCCATTTTAAAGGACCCACTAGTGAAATGGGACCCAAGTGTGCTGTTTTGGTGCCGCACGTCAGTTCTCTATTTGTGCCACTTGTCAAGCCGGATGTACTTGATTCAAATAACACATAACACACAACAAATAACTTGATTCAAACGGAGCCAATAATACATAAAATTTTAAACGACAACCAAAGTAATTTACAATCATGGCATTATAAATCAGGTATTCAACTATAAAATACAACTAAATATTAATATGGCCAGCTCCAGCTCCAGGGTTTTCTTTGGGATTATTCTCCTGGAGTTCCTTGTACACCAACTTTTAACGAATGAAGGCCAAAATCTGCGTGTTATAAATCAGAAAAGTTAGGAATATAATCAAGTGAAGTCGTGCATATAACATTCTCCTAACAATGAAAAATAGCTGCAGAATTTTAGATCTAATAAGAAACCATGCATATAACATTCTCATAACAGCAAGCCTGAGATATATTTGGAAAGGGAAAATGACAAGTATCAACTCAGTGCAAGATAACAGAGCAACTATGTCAAAGTTATTCAGATTTCCTGATGTGTGTGTCGCGTTATACATGCATCAAGAAGATCGTATATACACACAGATTTAACGCCTAAAGCACATCAGGGGTGGAGCTTACGTATATATACACGATTACTAGTTGGAACTAGTGAACAAAGGTTGTGAATGATTTTCATACGAGTATGTACAGTCATGGTTCTGGACATGAAAATGTTTATGTACATACAAGTACTCGGTACTTAATACAGATTTGCTAAAAGAAAGCAGATAGTATATCACCCATGATCCACTGATTTAGACTGGTATTATATCTTACAAATCAAACTAAAGAAGTTCATTTCCAGCCCAACTATAATCTCAGGCCAACTACTATAAGATGCAGGGAGCAGAGAGCTCACCATAGTTTTCATGTAGTCCACATGGAAGAGGCAGCATGCCCATCCAAGCAGGATCAGCAGCACCAGCACAAGCTCAATTATAGTCTCCGGCCGCTCTCCGTCACCACTTGCGCCACCCATGCGCTCGCTGGTCGCTGGCTATGTAGTCCACCTGATTTGCAAAGTGCAAAGGTTTCATCAATAAAACAGAGAGCGTAGCTATGGTTTTCGGCAAACTTA